GATTTCCAGGCTCGCCTCAACCCGCCTATCCCTTTCTTCCCTGCTCTCTCTCTGCCCTTTTCCCGTCCTCCCCGCAACCACTGTGGGCCCAAGCCTGGGGCCCCAGGTTTTACTGCTCTCGGGCGGCCTGCGCCTGTGATGCGTGCCTCCTGGCGGCACACGGCTGGAGAAAAAGGAGCTGCGCCCACTCATATCGCAGCGTAGCAGCAGATCGGAGTTCAAACTGGTCGCGGAGCAAGAGATGGCCCGTACGACGGATGAGTCCGCGGAGGAGCTCTTCGTTGACAAAGAGGGCATCCCGTATTGGGACGGCGAGAACATAGCTCTCTTGTGCGAGTATCGGATGAGAGTGCTGGTTGAGTACAGCACGCAGTCGAGCACGCCGGAGGCCGGGAAGGAGAAGCGGGCGAACCTGGGCTTGCGCCTGACGCGAGGCCTGACTGGCCGCGCGTGGAAGGCGGTGGAGCCGCTCCGGGACGACATGGAGTCGCTCACCCAGGACGGCTCACACCAGAGGATCATCGAAGCTCTCGATGGCCTGGACAAAGTGGCAGTGGTGCGCAAGCAGCAGAAGTTCGACGACTTCTTTAAGAGGTCTCGCCGCAAGCGCGGCCAGGATATCGTGGAGTACCTGAGGACCTCCCACAACAAATACAAGGAGCTGACTGAGCTTGACACCGGGACGAAGCTCAGCGACGACCTCTACGCGTATTTCCTCCTCGAGGGGGCGATGTTGACGGACGATCAGAAGAGGCTGGCCACGATGGTGGCGGACAACAAGTACAAGACGAAAGCCTTCGAGAACACGCTGAAGACGAACTACCACAGCCTCCACCTGCAGGAGAAGAACCCCCGGCCGCCACCGCCTCACCCCGCGGGGCGCCCGAAGGGCGGAGGCAAGGGCGGCAAGGACAAGTCCAAGAGGCAGCCGAGGGTGTACTACACCGAGGCGGACGACGTCGGCGACGAGGAGGAGCAGTACGAGGACTACGACGACGAGGCCTGCGAGGCCTACGAGGACGGTGACGCCGAGGAGGACTTCGCCAGCGACGCTGGCGCGAGTCAGGACGATGACGTTCGAGGAGCGCAAGGCGGATATCGTCAATGACAAGCAGCGCACGCACTGCGGGGCGTGCGGCAAGCTCGGGACTGGGCGGGGGGCCCAGAGTGCCCCCCTGGGTCCGAAGAAGCCAGCAGCAAAGTCGAAGAGCCGACCAGACCCGCGCGGGCGAGCAGCGGCGCTCTCGCGCCCGGCCTGGAGCAGCTCATCGGCTCCAGGCAGTGGCTCGCGCGCGCCGAGCAGCACCAGTGCCGAGAAGCGGAGGGGCGCGACTCTATTCGTGCTGGACGACGTTGAGTGCGACTCTGCCTTCTTTGCCAGCTCGGACCGTGGCTCCGACCTCGGCTCCTTCAAGCTCGTGGGCAGCGACGTCGGCGACAGCGCGAGTGTGGTCAGCGACAGCGTCAGCACGGTCCCCCCGACGGTGAAGGGCGACGAGGTGCTGCCGTGCCCGAACTGCTCTAAGGCCCTGGTGGCTCGCCAGAACCACCGGAGTGGCGGCTGGTTCTTTGGATGCAGCCAGTTCCCGGACTGCAGGGGCACGCTGAACTGCAACGAGGGCGAGCAGCGGCTGCGCGAGGCGCGGCCGCCGCCGTCTTCGGCCTGAGCACACTCCGCTACGGGGCCCAGAGGGGCCCCTCACGGGCGCCATGTGCGCCCAGTACCTGGGGGAGGATTTTGGGAGATGGTGCTTATGGTGAGTGAAGACAGTGACTCGTCTGATGTACCAGTGGCGCTCATCGACACCGGTTGCGCGAGATGCATGCGCGGCAAGCGTTGGCGGGTGTTGTTCGAGAAGAGGTGCTTGCACCCCGCGGCCTGAAGATCAAGATGACGGGCCGCTGGAGGAACTTCTCATCGGCCTTCGGTAGGAGGCAGGAGGGGCGCGTGGTCGAGATTCCGGTCGCCCTCGGCGGCCGTCGCGGTGTGATCTCCAGCGCGGAGATGGAGGATTGCGACGCCCCGCTCCTGGTCAGCCTGGCGTCGCAGGAGGCGGTGGGTGCCGTGCTCCACCCGAGGAGATGCGGATGGAGCTACAGACGCTCGCAGTGGACGTGCAGCTGCTCAAGGTGGGCGGCCACTTGGCAGTTCGGCTCGATGATTGGGGCGATGATGGTCACCGATCGGCAGTGACTTCGAGTTCGGGGCCGGCGACGGCGGTCTCGGATAATCGGGGCTTGGAGTTTTTCCTTGCGCAGGCGCTGAAGGAGACGGCCTTCGAGGAGTCCGACGGCGGGGAGGTCCAGGTCGAGGAGGTTGGCCACGCCTTACTGTCGAAGGATCGGGGCGTGCTGGCTACCGATGCGACGGGGATCCTTTCTAAGGCGACTCGGAAGAGGCTCGAGTCCAACTGGCGGGAGCTTCGAGGAGAGGATCGACGCCTACGAGGGGAGGTGCTTCGACCGAGGTTCGAGGCGGAGCGCTTCGTGACGGCCGACTTCCAGACAACGGTGGTATTCGAGCCGTTCGGTGGCGAGCACATCCTGACGCGCTACGGCGCGAAGGAGTGCGGCTGGATGCAGTCCCGGCCGCTGGGCGTGGACCACCCCCCCCCACTACGACCTGCTCGAGGGCCCTGGGCGGGCCTTGCTATGCCGGATCCTCGACCAGCACTGGCCTTACATCACAGCGTTGGCTTCTCCTTGCCATCCGTGGTCCCTGATGACCAACGTGAACAAGATCACCGACTGGGGCGAAGTCCGCAGGAGTGCTCGCCGTTATCTCTTGCTCGTTCGGCGGGTGTCTCGATGTGTGCGTGCGAGAGGGCGGTATTTCTTGATAGAGCAGCCGTTGACAGCACTTTCTTGGAAGTATGATGGTATCCTGACCCGTCTGAGGGATTTGGAAGGCGTTGTGTTAGTGCGTGGAGATCAATGTGCCTACGGAGCACGCGACAAGGACACGGGTAAGCCGACTAAGAAGCCGACAGGGTGGCTCACGAACAGCGCGGCGGTGGCGAACCACCTGAGCAGGCGCTGTGCATGTCCGCCCGGTGCTCACCAGCAGTTGCTCGGGAAGGACTCGGGCGGCTACCGGGCGCAGCAGGCGGCGGCCTATCCCTTGGGCCTCGCGAAGGCCTTCTGTCGCGGTGTGTTCCAGCAGATGCAGATCGACTACCGCGGCTCGCTGGTCATGGATGCGGCCTTCCCGGTGGGGGATGCTTCCCCTCGCGAGCGCTCGCGATCGCGGAGCCCGCCGCGGGGGGGGCCGGAGCCAGAGGGGGATCACCAGGAGGGCCCGCCTCTCGGAGAGGACGCGCCGCCTGCCGAGGCGGCGGCGGCGGCCCCGGAGGCGCCGGCCGAGGTGCCCGCTGGGCCCAGGCGCGGCCGAGCGCCTGCTCGCTGCGAGCGCGGCGCGCCTCCTGGCGGGCGCCCGCTGGGCTTCCGCTGGGGGCGGCGCGCGCAGCAGGGCGATTTCGAGCTGCTGACGGTGGGGCTGTGCTGAGCTGGACACGTTCCGGAGCTGGCGCAGAAGGCTGCTGGAGAAGATGGGCGACGATGTCGAGATGATCATCTGGGGCTCGGACCTCTTCCTGGAGAAGCTGGGAGGAGTCATCAGCGAGCCGCTGAAGATGGTGAAGGCCAGACGCGGAGGCCAGCGGCTTCAGACGGTGCAGCCGCGGCTGCACGCCGCGGGCGCCCCGCTCAGGATGGTCACCGCGCTCAGGGGCGACCAGCTCTACAGGAAGGGCTTCGAGGATTGGTCGCAGCAGTCCCTGCAGGCACGACGTCGCTGGTTGCCGAGGCACTTGCTCGAGAACGACGTCGTGGTCTTCTACTTCGCGGGCTACGAGCGCGACGACCTGCCCGAGGGGCCAGCTGCCGCGCAGCAGCGGGACGCCTCGCGGGAGAGGAAGCGACGCTGGGAGCTGCTGCCGAGGGCAGTCAAGAGGGCGATCGAGAGGGTGCGCGTGAACCTCGGGCACCCCTCGCGGCCGGCGCTGCTCGGGGCACTGCGCCTGGGCAAGGCGACGGCGCTGGCGCTGAAGGCGGCGAGTCTCTTCGTCTGCGAGGGCTGTCGGCGAGCGCAGCGGCCCGGCATCCCGCGCCCGAGCCAGCGCCCGAGGGTCGACGAGTTCAACGTGCTGCTCGCGATGGACTGCTTTGAGAACGTCGACCGCGCCGGCAGCAGCTGGGAGTTCCTGGGCATCATGTGCATGGGGACGAACTTCCATGTGGTCTGCCTGCTGGAGGACACTCACAATAATCCCAAGGCCTCGGAGGTCAGGAAGTTCTGCGAGCTCTGCTGGGTCTCCTGGGCTGGCCAGCCGGAGGAGGCGATCATGGTGGGCCGCGCGCGGTCCTTCCTAGGCGAGTTCGCGGACTACCTGGAGCAGGAGGGCGTGCGCCTGGACTCGGCCGCTCTGGCTTCGCCGTGGCACATCGGCAAGATGGAGCGTCGCGACGGCATCTGGAACTCGATGCTCACGAGGGTGGTGCGCGACAAGCAGGTGGCTGGCCTTGAGGAGAGGAGGACGGCGGCGACGGAGTGCAACAGGGCCAAGAACACGTTGGGCCGGCGGGCTGGCTTCAGCCCCTACCTCTGGGTCCTCGGCCGGGGCATCCGCCTCCCGGCGAGCCTCGCGGATGACGCCGAGGTCGAGCGAGTTGGCGAGCAGGTGGCAGCGGCTACTCCAGGCTCGCGTTTCGCCCGCAAGGTCGAGATCAGGGCCCGGTGCAGGATGGCCTTCATCCAGACGGACGCGGAGGATCGACTTCGACGGGCAGAGCTTCGACAGATACGGCCGATGAGGGGGCCGTTTGTTGTGGGCCAGTGGGTGCTCTTCTATGACCAGGCGCAGCCGGTCAAGCATCGGCCTGAGCATCCAGACAACTGGCGAGGGCTGGCGCGCGTGATCGGCCATGAGGGCTGGCATGGAGCGTGGCTTGCCTTCCGGGGCCTCGCCGTGCTCGCGAGCCCGGAGCACCTGGCAGCCGCCGCGGGCCACGAGATCCACGCCTGGAGGCCGATTGCGCAGGGGCAGGAGCTGGTGCACGACGCGCCCGTCGGCGGCGGCAGCGGCTTCGAACCTGCGAGGCCGGCCCAAGCCCCCAGCGACGGCGGAGCAGGAGCCCGCCGAGCAGGGCGACGGGAGCGGCGTGGACGTCGGGCCGCAGGCGGAGGCGCCGGAGGAGCAGCAGCCAGGCTCCCCCGGCTCCGCCTGAGCCGGAGGCTCGCGCCAGCCGCGCCTGAGCCGCCTGCGGCGCCAGCCCCGGCCGTGGGGGCTGAGGACGTGCCGGTGCCGCCCGACCTGGACTTCGATGCGGCGGAGTTCGATGCAGCGATTCAGGAGATCATGAGGGGCGATGACGAGGGCTGGCACCCAGATACCCACGGGGTGTACTCGGGGCCCGAGCCGGGGGCCTCTCGGCACCGGCGCCCAGGGAGCCTCCTGGAGGAAGAGGAGGCGGAGGAGCGTCGTGAGCGAGAGGCTAAGCGGCGGCGCCTGCTGGATGACGTCCCGGTCTCGATCCGACAATGTACCGCAGGATCCAGCCCCCAGGCGCCCATGGACTCGGCGGCGTTCGTGCTGGACAACGACCTGGATGAGTTCTCGGAGGCAGGCCTGGAGACATATCAGCAGGACGAGGCCTTCTTCATTCAGGAGGGCATCGGCAGGGAGGAGTTCATCTTCGGGCTGAAGCGGAGCGAGTTCGAGCACGCCTTCCTGGCGAAGAAGCCGGGGAGGAAGGAGATCAGGCTCGGCAGCTTGCCGGAGGAGCAGCGCAGGAAGTTCCTGGACCGGGGCGGCAGCCGCGATGAGGAGTGGCGCTCCTGGCAGGACTTTGACGCGGCCGAGCCGGCCCCGCCAGGTGAGAGCGAGAAGCTTCGCTCGAACAACGCCAACATCATCATCCCGATGCGCTGGGTGGACACGGACAAGAATGACGGGAAGTACGATGAGGCCGGAGCCCCTCTGCCGTTGCTCGCGAAGAGTCGTCTTGTCGTGGTGGGCTTTCGCGACCGCTTGCTGGGCATGTTCAGGCGGGGCGCTCCCGCGGCCTCGCGGCTGGCAGAGGCGCTGCTCCTGGCGCTGGCGGCGGCCATGGGCGTGATCCTCTCCTTGGGCGACGTCAAGAATGCCTACTTCAATGGGCAGGACTTGCGGGCCGCCGGGCCTCGCCCCAGGCCAGCTGAGGGCCCGCGAGGCCATCTGCGGCTTCGCGGAGGCAGCGAAGCTCTTCTGGCTAGCGCTGCGGGACGCCATGCTGGTCGACGGGTGGCTCCAGTCACGCCTGGAGCCGGCTCTCTTCTACAAGCGCGTGGACGGGCAGCTGAAGGGCATCGCGGTCTCGCACGTCGACGACGTGCTGGTGGCGAGGATGAAGGACATGCAGCTGTCGGACCTACTGCCGGTCGCGAGCTCACGACCGGCAGTATCCTGGCCGGGCATCCGGCACCAGTGGCGGTGCTGGACTGGAAGAGCGGCATGACGCAGAGGGTGTGCCGTTCGACCCTGGCCGCAGAGGCCAGTCACCTGGCGGACGCAGTGGAGGCAGTCGACTGGGCGGCGGTGCTGTTCAGAGAGGCGACGAACGTTTCGGTGGACCTTCTCAACTAGCAGGGGGAGGTGCAGCGGCTTCCCCGCTTTTGGGCGACGGGCGCGAAGTCCGTCTACGATCACTTGACGAAGGAGGACTCGACGAAGAGCAAGGACAAGAGGATGGCGATCGAGGGGGCCTTGCTCAGAGAGGTGTTGCGCTGCGAGGACACCCATCTTCGATGGATTGATGGCTCGCAGAATATCGCAGACGTTCTGACCAAGCTAGGGGTGGACAAGGTCTGCCTGTAGAAGGTACTGCGCGAGGCAAGGTGGAGCCTAGTGCAGGACCCGGCGGCGGCGGCGCTGAAGCTGAAGAGGAGTATGCAGAGGGCTAGCCGCAAGACCGCCATCGACACGAGAAAGACGGAGAAACGGCAGTTGGACAAACTCGTGAGAGCTGGTGAGATGCGGGACATCGCAGTTTGAGGAGCCAGGCGGTTTTCGGCGTCTCCTTTTGAGGGCGTGTGAAGATTTCCAGGCTCGCCAAAACCCGCCAATCCCTGTCTTCCCTGCTCTCTCTCTCTCTGCCCTTCTCCCGTCCTCCCCGCAACCACTGTGGGCCCAAGCCTGGGGCCCCAGGTTTTACTGCTCTCGGGCGGCCTGCGCCTGGGATACGCGCCTCCTGGCGGCACACGGCTGGAGAAAAAGGAGCTGCGCCCACTCAGATCGCAGCGTAGCAGCAGATCGGAGTTCAAACCCCCACTGGGGCATTCGGTGGAGCTCCCTCTGGGGCCACGAAGCGCTGCCCTGGGTGGGGGAACCGCATGCGGACACCCCCACTGAGGCCTTCGGTTGAGCTCCCTATGGGGCCACGAAGCGCTGCCCTGGGTGGGGGGACCACATGCGGACACCCCCACTGGGGCCTTCGGCGGAGCTCCCTATGGGGCTACGAAGCGCTGCCCTGGGTGGGGGAACCACATGCGGGCAGCCTGGTTGGGGCCTTCGGTGGAGCTCCCTATGGGGCCACGAAGCGATGCCCAGGGTGGGGGAACCGCATGCGGACACCCCCATTGTGGCCTTCGGTGGAGCTGCCTATGGGGCTACGAAGCGCTGCCCTGGGTGGGGGAACCGCATGCGGGCAGCCTGGTTGGGTCCTTCGGTGGAGCTCCCTTTGGGGCCACGAAGCGCTGCCCAGGGTGGGGGAACCGCATGCGGACACCCCCACTGGGGCCTTCGGTGTAGCTCCCTATGGGGCTACGAAGCGCTGCCCTGCGTGGGGGAACCGCATGCGGACACCCCCATTGTGGCCTTCGGTGGAGCTCCCTATGGGGCCACGAAGCGCTGCCCTGGGTGGGGGAACCGCATGCGGGCAGCCTGGTTGGGGCCTTCGGTGGAGCTCCCTATGGGGCCACGAAACGCTGCCCTGGGTGGGGGAACCGCATGCGGACACCCCCACTGGGGCCTTCGGTGGAGCTCCCTATGGGGCTACGAAACGTGTGAGAGGTGTGCCGAGAGCAGAGGCAAGGAGGGGGAGGAGGGAGGAGGGGGAGGAGGGAAGGAAGGAATGAAGAGGAGGAAGGAAGGAGGAACGCGGGGCACCGTCTCTTCAAAACGAGGACCCAACACCACATGATGGTTGGGGAAAAAAGTAAATGATGAGGTGGCCGAGGAGAGCTCCTAATGATTGACTACGGTGCTACTCTCACGCTGGAGTTGTTCCGGCATCCGTTATCCGTTGCAGCAAACATATTGTGAAAAAACACATGATGAGAAGGATTGGAACAATGTGGAGGAAAGGGTGGAGCAGGAGGAGGGGGAGGATCACGACGAGGATGATTAGGACGATGATCGGCGAAGTCGGGAGGAAATGGCCTACCGAGTTGGAGCTTTGGGCATCCGTTCTTCTCCGCGCCTGATCTGCTTTTTTTCGCTTCCAACTGGGCGAGCGGAGGAGAGGACAGTAAGGCTGCAAGAGGCAAGAACGTCACAACGAAGAGGGGAACCCATCGATTCTAGGGGCGGAGCCGAGGGGATGGGGAAGTACGGTTTGGGGGGGGCGACTACGAATAGTTTGTGCGAAAGGATCATGGCCCGAGCAGCGTGAATATAACCTCTACCGGCTCGAAACGCGCGTCATACGCATGCATACGTTTGTGCGTTGTGCCGCCGTGATGACGCGTGCTTCCCTTGAACTTGAGCGCGCGCGAAGCTCGCATGATTCTAGTTTATGCACGGGGGGTGGGGAGGAGGAGGAGGAGGAAGAGGAGGAGGGGGAGGATGAGGAGGAGGAGGAGGAGGAGGAGGAGGAGGAAGAGGAAGAGGAAGAGGAGGAGTAGGAGGAGGAGGAGGCGGAGGAGGAGGAGGAGGAAGAGGAGGAGGAGGAGGAGGAGGAGGAGAGGAGGAGGACGAGGAGGAGGAGGCGGAGGAGGAGGAGGAGAAGGAGACGGCGGATGAGGCGGAGGAGAAGGATGATGAAGATGCTGCTGATGATGAAGAGGATGATGCTGATGCTGATGCTGATGCTGATGTTGATGATGATGCTGATGCTGATGATGATGCTGATGATGTTGCTGATGATGATACTGATGATAGTGAGGATGACGATGCTGATGCTGACGATGCTGATGATGCTGATGCTGATGCGGCTGAAGTTGCTGATGATGCTGATGATGCTGATGATGCTGATGATGATGATGCTGATGATCATGCTGATGCTGATTATGATGCTGATGATGGTTTCAATGCTGCTGGTGCTTTCGATGATGATGATGATGATGGTGATGATGATGGTGATGATGAGTAGGATGCTGCTGTTGATGATGCTGCTGCTGATGATGATGACGATGCTTATTGTGATGGTAGTGATGATGATGATGATGATGATGATGCTGCTGATGATGATGATGATGATGATGATGATGATGATGATGATGATGATGATGATGATGATGATGATGATGATGATGATGATGATGATGATGATGATGATGGTGATGTGATGGTGATGTGATGTGATGTGATGATGATGCTGCTGATGCTGCTGCTGCTGATGATGCTGATGATGCTGATGATGATGATGCTGCTGATGATGATGATGATGATGATGATGATGAATGATGATGATGATGATGATGATAATGATGGTGGTGGTGGTGGTGGTGGTGGTGGTGGGTGTGGTGATGATGATGATGATGATGATGATGATGATGATGATGATGGTCAGGAGGAGGAGGAGGAGAGGAGGAGGAGGAGGAGGAGGAGGCGGAGAGGGGAAGGGAGAGGAGGAGGAGGTGGAGGAGGAGGAGGAGGAGGAGGAGGAGGACGAGGAGGAGGAGGACGAGGAGGAGGATGAGGAGGAGGAGGAGGAGGAGGAGGAGAAGGAGGTGGAGGAGGAGGAGGAGGAGGAGACGGAGGAGGAGGAGGAGGAGGAGGAGGAGGAGGAGGAGGAGGAGGAGGAGGAGGAGGAGAAGGAGGAAGGTGTCGGCGCTCTCGCAGGTGCACTATATGCAGTGCCCCCACCTCTGGTCTAATTTGAGTAAGGTGAGTCGCCACCCGATGCCCGAGGACCCCCTTTTCCGTCTTGGCCTCCGATCTCCTGCCCCCCACAGATTCATGTATGCAGATGCCTCTTTTTATCAATTTACCCTGTCTCTCCCCCAAACTCCGCCCCTGTCTGCCGATGACGTCTCTCTTCTGTTCCCCCAGCTCCGTGCTTCTGTATTCCGTGTCATTCCATCTGTCCCTGACATGTCGGCCGGAGCCCTTTCGGCACCAGGGCCCGAGAGCGGTGGCGACGAGGAAGTAGTAGCAGCAGTGTAGGAAGGAGAACTCTGGTCCGCAGCTACGAGCGCAGGAGGAGGGTGTCGGCGCTGTCCGTGCTGGTGGCACTGCTGCTGTCGTCGCTGCCAGCGCTGCTGGTGCTTCTGCTGCTGGTGCTGCTGGCGCTGTGATGTTGCGAGTGCTGCTGCTGCTGCTGCTGGTGTTGCTGCTGCTGCTGATGCTGCTACTGGCGGCGCTGTTGCTGGTAGTGCTGCAGCGGCTGCTGGCGCTGCTGCTGTTGCTGCTGTTGGTGCTGCTGTTGGTGCTGCTGCTTGGTCGGGCGATTAATTTCGCCCGGTCGGAATCGAAAACAGGCGGTCGGCCTCTGGCACCGACGATGGCAGGTTGCGCCACCCCTGCTCGCCTGGGCAAAAACGGTTATTGTGCATCATCGTCGTCGTCTACTGAACAGGTTATCAAAATAATGCCGAGGGCGCCGGGGATTCCTATGGCCCAGGGGCAACTGCAAAGTCCTAGCGTGAGGATTCTTCCGAGGGAAGCAAGGAGCGTGAGAAAAGAGGGTGCCTGCAATGCAACTCGAAGCAAGGTTAGCGAGCGCTGCATATTCTTGGATTCAGATTCATATTGAGAGAAAGAGGAACGGCGAAGAAACAGATGGCCAAGAAACGGCGAAGCGACATCACTCAGCCTCCCTCGCAATGGTGTCGCGGCCTCCAGGGCCATATGCACGACGTCGGAGGTGACGGCAAACGGGGCCCAGCGCGCGATGGCGATCACGGAGCTGGCAACCTCAATCATGGAAAGTAGGCGTAGTACTAGCGTCACTCGTCATCGTTTCTCGATGTCAAGTAGTTCAGTAGCTGCTCCGCCTTCGCCTCTTTGCTAACACCTGTGGACTCGGAGAGGTCGTTTGCCTTCAGGGCGCGGTTCCAGTCGGCTTGCTTTACTTTCACAAGGCATCCAACGGCTTTGCAGAACTCTTTCGGGGTCTTCGGGTAAGAGCTGAAATCTTCGGTCGGGGCAACTGTTTTCAGGATTTCTTTCATGGCTTGCTCTTCGGATTTCTTGGCAGCCTCTGGTGCAGCAAGTGTGGGCATCTTGAGCTTGCGGCCTGCTTTCGGGGTTGTCGTGGAAGGTTCGGCCAGCTCATGCTTCGCAGTGGCGATGCCGATCATGGCATGCTGCATGCCGGCGAGCTGCTTACGCACAGCATCCATATCGGGTGACGTCGCCGTGTGCTTATTATTTTTCTTCTCAGCCTTCTTTAAGTGCGTTTCATCTTTACAGCTGTTTTCGCAATGCGCTGAAATTGATGTTGCTGCTTGAACTGCTGCCAGCGCTGGAGGCTTGGCTTGATGTTGAACTGCTTGCTCTGGAAGAATTACTCCCTTGGTCTTTTAGCTTGCGGCTCGTGGACGTCAGGAACTTGAAACGCTTTGACTTTGGGCCACCGCCACCAAAGATAGAAGGCACTGCTTTCATGTCTGAGCGTGTCACCTTCATGAACGCGTTGTTCTCGGCTGCTGCTTGCTTGGCGTGCTCGCGACGAAGACATGCTTCATTCACGGATGTTGAGGGCTCCGCTGCACTCATCGCATATGCTGGCATGCGATTGTCGAAACTCTTGCCTCCTCCTTTTCCTCCATTAGGTGCGAACTGCTGCATGCCAGAGCCTCCAGAGCCACCCTTTCTACGGGCGTCCCCAGCGCTGGGCCATCGCGCACTTGTTGTGGCGAGCGAGGGATATAGGTCTTGGAACCGCGACGTGCTCGAGGGTGGGTTACGGGTGTGGGTCGGTTTCTTCATGGAGTGCTCATGGGGCCAGTGGGAGGGTCAGAAATCCAGGGGTATCCAGCGACTGCTCCGCCAACCACAGAAACGGGAGCTTGCCGAAAACATGCGTTCAGGGGGCCCTCTGGAGACTGCATCTTAATTCCCAACCATGTCCCAGAGCCTTGCGACGGATATAAATATAGATTTATGTCGTCGAGGAAAAATGTGTGGAGCTCTGCTAAGTTGTAGGACGGGCCAGTCACATTTGAGAATCTCATTAGCCAGGCATAAGAAGGCCATTCGCGCATAGACATGTTACTGTGTGCCAAGGCTCGCTTCAGGACCAGGGTGCGTAATGTAGCATGAGATCGTCCATCTGGGGCGGGGCGCCATGCGGGGATTTGGGCGTAGGGGGGGGGGGTAGCTTCCAGGCCTCGGGCAAACATCCCGCTGTGCGAGAATGGGTGCATCTCGATTTTCCAGCCGGCACCATGGACCCGAACTTGCAGGACGTCAGTGGGGAGCGGGCGCCCCTCTTCTGCGACTCCCACGTCCTGCGGCCAACGTTGCCGTGTCAACTGAAGGCGGCAGGGTGGACAGAACACGCGCGAGCAGAGGAGGGCGCCATCCACATATAGCAATCCTTGCAGGGGTTGGGATGGTAGGGGGTCGCGATACCGTAGACTCACGTCACGAGTTCGCGTAGGGGAAAACTTAGAGGTCATGGATATCTTTACCCAGGTCGCACAGCGTGGCTGGCTCGGACATGGCGCCTCCCATCGGCCAGCCTTTCGTGGGTGAGAAAACCTCCCGTCCGAGAATGAAGTTGGCGTCTTGGGCCGCGTGTCGACTGGCGCGCCGCAGGCCCTGCAACGAGAGCACATCATATACATGGGGGTGCACGTTGGCCTGCGCAACAAAGTTGTCCATGGGCACGGGGCGCGCGTTGGATAGCACCAGTATTGCCCTGTTCGTTTTTGAGGTCGGTTAAGTGGGGCATCGCATCGGATAATGCGCCGTCCAGCGCTAGCGTCCTTCAAGGACTGGCTCTCATCCGCCTTCGTCCAGGATGTCGGGGCTTTCGGGGCTCCACGGGGGCATTGGAATCGATGTTTCAGGGGCTTCCTCAAGAGCTCGAACCCTAGCGGGGATAGTGTCAGGTAAGTTAGCCATCTCCCAGATCGCCCCCATCTCATCTCCACTAAGTGATTTAACAGGTCGTCGTTCTCTAGCAGCTTTCCGTTTGTAGGTGCGTTGGTATGCATTAGGGGCAGCGCAGATCTCTCGGTTATGGGCATGTGGCTTATTACAACATAATTCGCCAGAGCTTTTGCCGATACATGCCGCTTTGACCGTGATGTAGGCTTTCGTGATGTTAGCAGCTTCATCGTCGCGGGTCGCGCCAGCGTTCTGGGATATATTTGCGTGCCAAGCGATCCATTTTCGGACGAACCATTTTCGTGTTCCACTTCGGGAGATGCTGGTAGTGTACAGGGTCATCCACGAAGCATTGGCCAAGCTTCCAAACATAGCATAGCCATGGCAGTGCAGCTCTACGGTGCGTGTCTTGGTCGACGGGCTCCCAGCAAACTTCTGAACGTTGAGAGGTGAAATCATATCGTAGCCTCTTTAAGGGGGAACGAGCAGGAGTGGTGAGTGTCGTCGAGAAACAGGCGTTCGCCAGGGTTTCCACGTCCACATTCCTGGGCAACTTCGGGTGCACCAGCTTCGCAAGGCCAATGCATGTTCCACAGCATTGATATCGCGCGAAATGAGATCGGAGTTCAGCTTCGAGTCGTCGCACCAATATTGGTACATTCCAATGCTGTTATGTCCAGGCCACATTATAAACAAGGGTTCGCCTTCTCTGTCACGTAGTTACTTGTATAGTTCCATTGAGAAGTATGCAGTAGCGGCATGTTGTTGAGATATACCATCTGAAACCATGGGCAGCTTACATCTATGAGCTTGCAGCTTCTGTCTGAGAAATATTTGCAGGTTGTGTCCAGGGGATGTTCGGGTAACCCCCGATCTGTACCGTCGTATAAGATCTCGGCATCGTGCATCTATCGGTCCAGGTGGGGATGCAAGTGGTAAGCGAAAAACTCATGTGGGCAATGGGTTGCCTGATTGTAGGAAGGACCTCAAGTGTGTAGGAGCCCACATTGCCATGGCGCCTCTGACGTCGAAAGTCCAACTTCGTGGAGAGCTCACTGAGATATATCGCCAACCATAGAGCATAGCTGCGGAAATACATGCATCGCTCCACTGTCCGCCGATCGATTTCGAACCGCACTTTGCAGAACTGTGAGAGCATCGTGAAATTGGTAGTGGTCGCGCATAGTCGATGTCGCAGCTTCTCATTGCGTTTGATCTGCATGATGATGTTGAGGCGGGTCTCGTCCTGAGCGGTCGGCATCTGGCGCTGGCGTCGAGATGGTCGTGGTCGACGTGTCTGGCCAACTTGTGATGGTCCGGGGCCGGTTTGTGTGATTGGGCGTAGGGTGTTGATCGCCAGGGGTTCGTATGCTGCAATCGTCTTGGAGTCGCTCCAGGCAGTAGGAAACAACGTGAAACTCCATATAGAACAGTTTCGCCAAATTCTGTATCGTGGTCGGTCGCACTGATTGCCACTTTCTTGAAACGTAGATCGGAAATGCTCTCGAAATCGCAGTGTGGGTCCAACAACAGGACGTCGGTTAACGGTACGAGCGCCTGTTGTACGACCAATACACCATATTGAGGATATGGATGAAAGCGCCGCATATAGTACTCCACTCTGATTTAGCATCAGACTCATGCAAGTATTGTCGAAATGTGAAACATAGAAAAATCAGCCATCTTTCAGAATCTGCATTATCTTGGAGTGCGGCAGCTTGTAGGAGTGGTTTGCTAGCACGTAGGAGAACTCGAATCCAGTGTTTCTTGTGGTGAAATCTGCGAACGAATCCAAAACCACGCAGTGCAGAACTATGCGCATATAGTGCCCAGGCGGTGGGCGCAGGCTTCCCAGCCACGCACCAGTGCGCCAAAGCACATCGTACTGAAGCCCACTTATGTAGTTGTTGTGCATGCTCGTCTCGTTGAAGTAGACCTGAGGTCGCGTGCGCTGCAATCGCACGTCCTCATGCTGGTGCATCTGTGTGACATGGTAGTGTGAGAAAATCACATATGTGGTCCAGCAGCTGTGCCTAATGCATGGAGTGCACGTCTGAGCTGGAGTGGATGTACATCGGGTAGGACAGCTGGGATACGCAGAGTAGCGCTGTTCATCTTAGGATTGGGAATGAATGAATCTGCCAGGTGGTCGTGCGAGCGTCGTACGCCCGCGCAGTCTTTCCTGTGGCCGTCAAGGAGCTCAACGGGATTTGGGCGCTGAGACCCACAAGACCTCCTCCTCCTCCTCTTCCTCCTCCTCCTTGCTGCTTGGTCGAGCGATGGATTTTCGTCCGAGCGAGTCGGGATCGAAAACAGGCGGTCGGTTTCTGGAACCGACGATGGCAGGTTACGCCACCCCTGCTCGCCTGGGCAAAAACTGCTACTGTGCATCATCATCGTCGTCTACCGAACAGGTTATCAAGATAATGCCGTGGGCGCCGAGGATTCCTGTGGCCCAGGGGCAACTTGCGGAGGCCTAGCCTGAGGACTCTTCCGAGGGCAGCAAGGAGCGTGAGAAATGAGAGGGTGCTTGCCTGCAATGCAACTCAAAGCAAGGTTATAGAGAGCACTGCGTATTGTTGGATTCAGATTCCGAGTGAGAGAGAGGAACGCAGGAGACAAAGGGAGGTAATTCTCGGACAACGCTAGCGAAACTGCTGCTGCTGCTGGCGAGGCCGCTGCTGGCGGTGCGGTTGGCGCTGCTGCCTGCGCTGCTGCTGTTGCCAGTGTTGGAGTTGCTGCTATACGTGTGCTGCTGCCGGCGCTGCTGCTGGCACCGCTGTTGCTGGTATTGCTGCTGGTGCTGCTGCGGGTGCTGCTGCTAGCGCTGCTGCTGGTTACGGTGCTGCTTGTGCTGCTGCTAGTGGGGCTGCTGCTGACGGTCCTGGTGCTGCTGCTGGCGCTGCTGCTGCTGGTGCTGCTGTTTGTGCTGCTGGTGCTGTTGCTGGTGAGCTGTTGGTGGTGGTGCTGCTGCTGCTGTTGCTGCTGGTGCTGCTTGTGGTGCTGCTGGTGCTGCTGGTGCCTGTGCTGGTGCTGGCGCTACTGCTGCTTTTGCTGCTGGTGCTGGTGGTGGTGGTGGTGGTGCTGCTGCTGCTGCTGCTGCTCGCGCTGCTGCTGCTGCTGCTGCTGGTTCTGCAGTTGGTGGTGCTGCTGCTGGGACACATGCCACATAATGTAAACACGTATGCACTTACCGAGCGCTGGCAACCGGGCCGCAGCGCCCACGCTTCAGTTGCCGTTGGTTCACAACCCAGGGAGCTGCTGCTGCCGGTGGTGCTGTTGTTGCTGCTGGTGGCGGTGCTGCTGCTGGTGCTGCTGGTGCGTGCGGGTCCTGTTGATGCTGGGGGTGGTGGTGGTGCTGCTGCTGCTGGCGCTGCTGGTGCTGCCGCTGCTGGTGGCGGCGGTGCTGCTGCTGGTTCTGCGAATGCTGGTGCTGCTGCTGGTGTTGCTGCTGCTGCTGCTGCTGGCGTTGCTGGTGGTGGTGGTGCTGCTGGTGCTGCCGCGTTGATGGTGCTGCCGTGCTGGTGCTGATGCTCCTGATCGCCACAAGGGTCCACTAGCCTACGCTCCACCGTTCGGCCAACTTGTCCACCGCTGGTCCAACATTAGTCTACCGGTCCACCAAACGTTTACTGGTCAGTCCCCAGGTCCACGACCGATCAACATCTCAATTGGTCCACCGGTCCACCGCTTCACCAGTTCACCGGTCGACCGCCACTCCACCGCTCCACCGTTTCACCAGTCAGTCAGTCTACCAGTCCGCCGCTTCGTCTTTCCAGTGGTCCGGGACGGTCCGACGGCCCACCGATTCATTGGTCCATCGGTCCGCTGGCCCAGTCCGCCAGTCCATTGGTCCGCCGGTCCACCGGTCCGCCGGTCCGCGGGTCTGCCGGTCAGCTGGTCCGCCATCGCCTTTGTTGCATGCGTGACCGATCATTGGCTAAAGGGCTTTAGGACATCATACAGCTCTAACAACATATTGAGCAATAGTTTCAAAATAATGAAAAATATTGTAGTGAAGGGTAGTGTAAGAATTATGAAAATCGTTAAAAACATAGAAAATAGTGAGAAATCGTGAAAATCAGTAAAACCATGAAATTTGACCGTGTGAAGCAATTTTCACCGTCGATGGGTCATGTTGCGCTCTTTCCTCCTCCTCCTTCCTCCTCCTCCTCCTCCTCCTCATGGCCTTGGTCGGCTTCCGCCTGAAGTCGGACATCAACGTCGTCAAGGTGCCTGAGGCAGCATCACCACAGCCGAAGGTGCCTGTGGCAGCATCACCACAACCCAAAATTCTTCCAAGATGATCCACTGTAGCCATTGATCGCCCAAGATGGCCTCAGGATCGCCCGGTCTCCAAGACTTCCCAAGAAGCCCTCACGACGCCCAGCGGACATAATTCAATCACAAGACAGCTCGCCGCTTGGGCCCCGCCACCAGCCCAAACGGCGAGCATAAATCGGCTGTAGCCCCAAACGCATTTTGATGTTCAGCCTGTCTGGGCCCCATCGGGCTTCGGGTTTCGTTGTGACTGCCATCTGTAGTCTTTGTCGTCGTCGTCGTCGTCGTCGTCGTCGTCGTCGTCGGCTCTACCCCCCTTGTATTCCGCCTCCTCCTCCCTCCTCCTGCTCGTCCTCCACCTCCTCCTCCTCTTCCTTCTCCTCCACTTCCTCTGCCTCCACATCTTTCTCGGCGCCCGAATTTGCGCCATAGGTTGCGCCCTCGGTCGCCGAAAATGAAAACGTCCTCCTACTGGTTGCGCCACAGGTTATGGGTTGCCCCCCCCCTCCCCCGTGGGCGCCCGCCCGAACGCGATAGCGGAATTGCGCGGCAATGCCAACTGGATAGCGCGCGCCAGCAACATTGGGCAACACTGGGAAACATTCGGCAAGGCTGGGCAACATTTGGCAACATTGGGCAACACCAACCAACACCCAGCCAACATTAGACAACACGCGCCAGCATTCGCCAACATCATAACAACATTGGGCAACATCAGCCAACATCAAAAAAACACCATGCAGCACCAGCCAACATCCAGCCAACGCCAGCCATCATCAGCCAGCACCCAGCCAACATCTAGCCAACATCAGCCAGCATCCAGCCATCATCATCATTATCATCACCACCACCACTACCACCATCATCATCATCATCATCATCATCATCATCATCATCATCATCATCATCATCATCATCATCATCATCATCATCATCATCATCATCATCATCATCATCATCATCATCATCATCCTCTTCTCCCTTTTCTTCTTCTTCCTCCTCCTCCTCCTGCTCTTGCCCCTGCTCCTCCTGCTCCTCCTCCTCTTCCTGCTCCTCCTGCTCCTCCTGCTCCTCCTCCTTCTGCTCCTCCTCCTCCTCCTCCTCCTGCTCGTCCTCCTCCTGCTCCCGCTCCTCCTCCTCTTCTCCCTCCTCTTCCCCCGCCTCCTCCGCCTCCGCCTCCTCCTCTTTGTTCTCGTACTCCTCCTGCTGCTTCTCCTCATCCTCCCCCCATTTTGCTCCTCCTCATCATCATCGTCATCCTTACCCTGCTCCTTCTCAGCTTCCTCCACATTCTCGTCATCGTCCTCGTTCTCGTCCTCTCCTCCTCGACCTCCTCCTCCTCATCATCATGCTCCTCCTCGTCATCCTCTGTCTTCTCCAACTCGTTATCCTCCTCCTCCTCCTTCTCATCCTCCTCTTCCTCCCCTCCTCGCAACATTCTGTCGGTGGCGACTAAATTGCGCAGGCGATAGTTTTTAACTGTTTTGAACGCTTTCTGTTGGGAAAACAAGCAAACCGAATCACTACAACCTTATGCACGTTGGTGCTACATTGTGCAAGAAATAATGATAAGGTGTGAAAATTAGTGCAAATATTGGAAAAGAGTAAGAAATCTTGAAACATAGTGCAAATATCATTGATAAATAGTGAAACTAGTAAAATGTTCAAAAATATGATGCCTATAGGATTCGCAAGTATCGGTGGCAATAGGCAGCTATAAGCCCCATGGGATTTCGTAGTGGAAGGGATAGGCACTGAAAATGCAGGCACCCTATAGGATACCCTAACCCATCCTAGCCTGTCTTAACCTATCCAAGCGTATACTCAAATAGCATCCTATAGCAACACTATAAATACATATTGGCTTGCAATCATCACAGTGCCAATGGTCGGATCGCCGGTCCGCTGGTCCACTGGTCCGCCAGTCCACGGGTCCACCGGTCCATCTTACCACCGGTATACCGCCGGCTGCTTATCCGCCAGTCCACTTGGTCCGGCGGTCTACTAGGGAGCCCACAAAGGACGTACGCGCCCAGCTATGTACATGAACACGGCCCCTTGACCCGCGAGACCTGCCGCGCGATACGAACATTCGCTCAATGCGAACTCTCGAAACCAGCGTGGATTCATGTACATGTACGTCCTTCTTCCCAGACCCCCGACGTCATGATTTTTTCATGACGTCGACCCCCAGAGGTTTGGACCCATTCCCCAGGACCGGTGTTTCCTCCTGAGTCGTTTTTTGACGGTCCCGAAGCCCGGTAGGGGCCCCCAGAGGCCGAAAATAGCGAAAAACCTCCCGTCGTGATTTTTTCATGACTCGAGGGGGTCTGGGTTTCGCTCCTGATCTACCGGACCACCAGTCCGTCGGTCCACCGGCAGTCCGCGGGTCCACTGGTTCACCGGCCGCCGGTCCACCTGCATGGGTCCGCCGGTTCACCGGTTCGCCGGTTCCGTCCGCCGACGGCCGACGGGGTCTGCAAGTCCTCCGGTCCACTGGCCCACCGGTCTATCGGCTCATGGGTTCACCAGCCCGCCAGCCCTGTCGACGGTCCGCTGGTCCACCACCGGTCCACAGGTCCATTGGTCCTCCGGTCCGCTGGTCCGCTGGTCCACCGGTCCGCCAGTCCCCCGTTCCACGGGTCCACGGGTCTGCAGTCCGGTGGTCCACCGCTATAGGCCGGTCCACGGGTCCACTGGTCAGAACGCGCAACTCTCAGTTCTTCCACCAACGTTGGCCTCAGCGTCCTGAGCCTTTCGGAGCCCGGCGCTCCGCGGAGCAGCGCACAGCGTGTCGCCGGGGCCGCCGCCGCGGCATGCCTAGTCAACGGCTCTCGGCCGCATGGAGGTTAGAGGCGGATGCTAAGGTGGGACGTGTCTGGCCTGACCTGGCTTAGCTATCGACGCCGCCTGCGGCGAGTCCCCGCCGCCCCCTGCCTGTGGAAACGCCGGTGTCGTGAGGTGTCGGGCGGGGGTGCGGCTGCGCCAGCGGACTGCGTACTCCTCGAGCTGGGGAGGGGGCCTCTCGGGTCTTCGGGGCCCTCTGGGCTTGTCTGTATAGGGCCGACGTAGGGCATGGCCTGGGCCGTCGGGCGCCTTCGGGGGCCGCCCTGTGGGCCTCGCTGGGCCGTCTTGGAGCCACACTTGGCTGCCGCGGGGACCTGGTAGGGCCGTCTTGGGGCCCTCTTGGGCCCTCCTTGGGTCCTCCTGGAGCCCATTGTCTTGGGCTGGTCTTGGGGGCCTCCTGGGCGCGATGAACATGGAGCTGGCGAGAACCCGAAAGACGTCGACGCACGTGTGGTGTTTCAGTGATGTTGGCCTGCTGGGCCGACCCCGAAGGCCTCCAGAACGATTTTTTGGACCCTCTGCGTGCCATCTTGGCTGAAGTCCTGCATCTGCCAGGCGTTTTTAGGCCGGAGGCCCAGAAATGACTCCGGTACTCATTATTTTCTGAGTCGTAATCATGATTGCAGATTCAATGAGTTCTTCGACGTTGATTCCGCAACGATTGTGTTACGGCCCTACCGGGAGTGCCACCAGCGACAAGGCCGTCTTGACGCTCAAAGATGTCACAGCGCCTGGATTCCGTGAGGGCTGCTATGGGGTCTGCCACTACCCTGCCGAGGCCTTGGGCGGCTGCGTCGGTCCGCTGGCCTTCGACCAGATGCTGTGGTTCGGCCTCGAGCTCGACACCCGTCTCAAGGATCCTAGCAAGTTCGTCGCGGTCCAGTATGAGGCCGAGGAGCGCCAGAACGTTGCCGTTCTGACTGGTGCTTACCTCGTGCTCGGACAGGGCTGGTCTGCCAACGAGGTGTGCATTGCTCTCCCTGAAGACGCTGCTTTGACCTTGCCGTGTTCGTGGATCGACCCGGGGGATCTGAAGACCAGCCACCCCCGGACGCCCAGCATGGTGGTCCAGGACTGCTGGGAGGGTGTTCAGATGGCCCGGGATCTGGGGTGGTTAAGCAAGGACAGCGTCCAGGATGGTGTCATGACCTCCCTCGCAGCCAGCAAGTTCTGGAAGACCACCTACCAGTACGATGGGGCCTGGCTGGTGCCGGGCGATGTCTTCGTCATGGCGGACCCCATGACGACCATCAAGGACCCCGACCCTGTGACCTGCGCCGCCTTCTGCAGGGAACGCTGCGCCGATCCCGCCCCGGAGGAGGACAGCCTGGACGAGATCCGGGGGATCAGCAAGTGCACCGCCTCGTCGAGGGCCCAGCTGCCAGCGAGTGCCAGCTTGCCCGAGGAGGGGGCCGCCTGCTGGAGCGACGTGGGGATCTCCGGCGCCGTCGGCGAGGAGGCGAAGCCTGGCGCCAGCAGCGAGCCGCTGGGGCACCTGGGGGCCGGCGACCAGCTGGCGGGCATGTCGACGCACACCGTGTGCAAGGCCTACCGCCCCGGGGCCGGGGGCGGCAGGGGCCACGGCGAGTGGCCCGAGGCCAAGCCTTTCGTGGACTTCCTCCTGGAGGAGGGCATCCGGGCCGTGGTGCGCGTGAACAAGCCAGACGAGCGAGGACTCGCGGAGATTGGGGGGAGTTACGATGCGGGGCTGCTGACCAGCTTCGGGATCCGGCACGCAAACGTCTTCGTCAGCGACGCCACCAGCGACGGCGCGGGGGCCGTGCCCCCCGATCTTGCTGTCAGGCGTTTCCTCAGCTTTGCCCGGGACACGAATATGAATCCCGACGGTGGTAGCGCCATCCTGGTTCACTGCAAAGGCGGCTTCGGCAGGAGCGTGTTCTTGGCCTGTATACTGGTTATACACAAGTACAGCGTCTCAGGCCGTGGGCTCCTCGGCTGGGCGCGGATTGCGCGTCCAGGCGCAATCACGACTCCAGAGCAGGAGGCCGTGCTGCGCTCCCTCTCGGGCCGGGCGGACCTCTCCAGGAGGTATGGCGTCTCCTGCGAGGGCGAGTGCAGCATGTCGAGGACGCCAGCTTGCTGCACAGTGAGCTAAGCTCGCTTAGCGTTTTTGTTGCAGTTGATGTTTAGGGTGCAGGCTCCCTGTCCACATGATCCTGTGGGTACAGCGCATGATTTCAACTCCAAGGCCGTAGGGTCCCCATGGGGGCCATCGGGCTCTGTGAACATGCACAGGCGCGATTCAGCACATGGAACTCCACGGGTGCCGATTGTATTCCAATTTGTTCCTCGCGGCACGCTGGCGAATCTCGATACCCTTTCGTCCTCCCTCCTCTTCCTTTTGTTTTCTTGGCATCGCTCGGACGTGCGCAATCTTTCTCGGCGGGGACCATCGAGGAGCAGAACATCAACGCACGAAACCGAAAAATGCACGGGGAATGGGCGTCCGAGCGATAGCAAGTTTGCCACACACATTAACAGGAGTTCTTGTTTTCTCTGGGCATTCATTCCCGCGCAGGAAAGAACACCTCACCTTCTGTTCCTCTCCTCCGACGCACTCACACGTTCACTCAATCACTCGCACACTCATGCACTCATTGAGGAAGTCTCGACCGGGAGCCTCGCCTGAATCCCGAGGAAGTCTCGGGCGGAAGCCTCGTTCCTCACCAAACTGGGAGGATACCTCGGGCGCTCGCCTGTGAGTGAACCCCGGGGACGTCTCGAGCGGGAGCCCCTCCCTCTGAGGCCCCCCGCTTCAGGCGACTCATCCGAGGCGCCCCTCGGGAGCCTGCATCCCGAGGACGTCTCCAGCGGAAGCCGCGTTCCTCGGAGCTCGTGTTGGTAATCCGAGGCGGCCAGCGAAGTACCCGGTAACACACGACACCCGGGAGCCCGAAGCCGGAGGAAGTCTCGAGCGGGAGCCTCTTTCCTGAGCAGCTGCGAGGATGTCCTGGGCGCTCACTCGTCTGTGAGTCAGTGAGTCGCGAGGAAGTCTCGAGCGGGAGCCTCCTTCCTGTGGGGTCCCCACCTCCATATTCGAATCCGAGGCGGCCGTCATAGTACAAGGTAGAACACTTACCCTCAGTCTCGAGCGGTAGTCTCGTCCGTGAACGAATCGCGAGGAAGTCTCGAGCGGGAGCCCCCTCCCTAAGGGCCCCCCCGCTTCATGGTATGCATCCGAGGCGCCCATCTGGGATTCCCTGTAAAAAGCGCAGGTTTGGTGACACCTGGGAGTTATTCCCTGTAAAAGTCTGTATCTTTGAGGAGGTCTCGAGCGGGAGCCCCGTTCCTTTGTCGAGTGTCCTTTGTAATCCCAGGCGGCCATTCCCAAGCAAGCTTGTGAGCTGAGGCGCCCGTCGCGCCCCCCAGCTCGTCCACTCTCTTGTGGCAGAGCCCAAAGCACTGCGAGCGCTGGCAGTTCACATTTGATCTGCTCTTGCGACACTGTGGACGTGCTCTCGCCAGTGCTACAGTCTCCACGGGGAAGCACTCGATCGGAGGATCGAAGCAGTTCCTGCTCCTCCCTGAGCCGACTGGCGGCAACAACTACGGACTGCCAGCGAGATGACAGTCCGTAGTTGCAGCCGCGGGTTCTGAGAAGCAAGCTGTGTGTGATTTCCAGAGCGCCTCTTTCCCACCCGCCTCTGAGCAGAAGGACATTCCTGTCATCGGTCACCTGTGGAGCGGGCGTGGCAGGAAGCTGCTCGGCTTGCTCACGCCCACGGGATCTGTGCCCTGCGGGGCAGAGCGACACTGTGGACGTGCTCTCGCCAGTGCTACAGTCTCCACGGGGAAGCACTCGATCGGAGAATCGAAGCAGTTCCTGCTCCTCCCTGAGCCGACTGGCGGCAACAACTACGGACTGCCAGCGAGATGACAGTCCGTAGTTGCAGCCGCGGGTTCTGAGAAGCAAGCTGTGTGTGATTTCCAGAGCGCCTCTTTCCCACCCGCCTCTGAGCAGAAGGACATTCCTGTCATCGGTCACCTGTGGAGCGGGCGTGGCAGGAAGCTGCTCGGCTTGCTCACGCCCACGGGATCTGTGCCCTGCGGGGCAGAGCGTCCTCCTCTCTCTTCCCTCCTTCCGCCTCGAATCTTCCCGCTGGCCGGACTGCACTACTTTGCAGTCGTAGCTACAATATGTTTTATCATTGGCTGTCCGCCGCTTCGTGCCGGCAGTCTCTGCGCAATTATCAGTTTCAATTGCATGGCGTGCTGTCTGCGCATCTCTTGTTCAGCATTCTGCCCAAAAGCGACTCTAGACTGAGGTCCAGTGGGTCCCGACGGAATTCGACTGCCCCGAGAACTCCCCTCAAAGACGCGCATGTCCTGGATCGCAAGAAGGTCCAGAACTTAGCTTAAGAGAAATGCCCTCGCTATTCTGCCGGTCCATATTGTTTGACGTCTGTCGGTTCCCCGGTTGACGGCTCCTCGATGCTTCCTTGTGGGTATTTTGGGACGGACGACTTCTGAGGCAGAAACCCCTTTTCTTTTTTATCTAAAGGCTGCTGCCTCTGCCGCCGACCCTAGAGAGGTCTATTGAGTTTTGTTGGGTTGGCCCGGGACGCGTCAGCTGTCCCGCGGTCGCCATTCAATTTGCGGGGAGCCGACGCATAACACGCAAAGTGCATAACGCATAGTTTGTGAACACTTGACGTGTCGAGCGTCTCGGGCGCCTCGTTGTTTTTTCTTTTGGACGGGGGGAGGGGTTCGCAAGGTGGTCCCTTGAGGGTCTTGTGGGGTTCGGCATGGGCTGTCAGAGGTTTTTTGGGAGTTGTTGCGCGGCAATATGTGGGCTTTTGCGGGGCGTGTTTGAGGTTTTCGTTGGGTCTCGGGGCCCCCAGGAAACCCCAATGACGTTTGGCCATGTTACCCATGGCGCGGGTAACGTAGTGAAGGGTAGCTATGTTGTAGGATTGGCTTTCCCGGGGTTCCGTCGGGGGGGGGGCTCGTCCACCGATGGTGGATCTTGGCTGATCTTTGGTCGCCTTGAGTAATTCTGAAGATTATGTCGGTGAATCAGAGGCAATATTGGTGGCATGTTGGGCCAGTCGGGCTCTCTGACGGGTGTTGTTGACGACGACAGCGACGATGTTGACGACGACGATGATGGCGACCACGACGACGACGACGACGGCGGCGACGACGGCGACAACGACGACGACGATGACCAGGGCCGACGACGGCGACGAAGACGTCGACGTCCCGAACCGACGACGACGACGGCGACGACCCAAATGGCCCCCTCCACCTCCGTCCTCACCCTCCTCCAGCTCCCCCCTCGTCAGGGTTCAGACCCGAGGTATTTGGGAGTCTGGGGGAGGGGGGAGACGACGAGGGGGAGAGAAGGAAACGGAGGAATGCGAAGAGGCAGGAGGAACGGGCAGAGACAGAGGCGGGGACGGAAGGGGGAGGAGGGGAAGGAGGAGGACAACGGGGAGGTGGAGGAGGAGAAGCAGCAGGATGACGAGGAGGGGAGTGGAAGGAGGCGGAGAAGCAGGACTGGGAGGAGGACGAGAGGGGACGAGAAGGAGGAGGATGGTGGAGGCGAAGACGGAGGAGCACGAGGAGGTTTGGTAGGAAGGGGGAGCGAGGAGCAGGACGACGAGGAGGCGGATAGCCTCCGCCGGCCTCCAGCGGCTTCCAAGAGGTGGCGGACAGGAGGAGGACGAGAAGGAGGAGGAGGAGGAGGAGGAGGAGGAGGAGGAGAAGGAGGAGGAGGAGGAGGAGGAGGAGGAGCAGCATCAGTTTGGAAGAAGGAGAAGTCGGAGGAGGAGTAGTAGGAGGAGGAGGACCAGGAGGAGGAGGAGGAGGAGGAGGAGGAGGAGGAGGAGGAGGAGGAGGAGGAGGAGGAGCAGGAGGAGGACCAGGATGAGCACCAGGAGGAGGAGGAGGAAGAGGAGGATGACGATGATGATGAGGAGGAGGAGGAGGGACGAGGAGGACGAGGAGGAGGAAAAGAGGAGCGAGGAGGCGAGAGGAGGAGGAGAGGAGGATAAGGAATCAGATCGTTCAGGATCAGGATCAGGATCAGGAGGAGGAGGAGGAGGAGGAGGACCATGAAAAGAGGAGGAGGAGGAGTAGGAGGGGGGGGAGAAGGAGGAGGAGGAGGAGGAGGAGGAGGAGGAGGAGAAGGAGGAGGAGGATAGTAGGAGGAGGGATAGAAGGAGGTGGGAGAGGAGGAGGAGTGATGGGAGGGGGAGGGGTATGAGGAGGATGGATGGGCGAAGGATGTATTGGATGAGTTGTGATCTGAGAAGGGTGAGGAGTCTGAGGGAGAAGAGGAGGAGGAGGAAGAGGATGATGATGAGGAGGAGGAGGAGGTGGAGGTGGTGGAGGAGGAGGAGGAGGTGGAGAAAGAGGAGGGGGAGGATGAGGAGGATGGGGGACAGGGGGAGAAGGGATAGGAGGAGGATGGATAGCAGGAGGAGGAGGAGAAGGAGGAGGACTGATGGGAGGAAGAGGAGGGCTAGGAGGAGGAGGAGGTGGAGGACGAGGAGGAGGGCTTCGGCGCTGGCGTCGGCGTTGGCGTAGCGGGGGGGGGACCAGCGATGTTTTTTGCAGGGTGGGGAGCCCCTTAGAACCTGTGCACAGTGGCTCCAGGAGGCAGTCGGTGTCAGGCGTGGCGGGGGGTGCCGGCGAGATTTTGTTGGAGGGTGAGGGGGACCGAAGAAACCTGTGCCCAGTGGCTCCAGGAGGAGGTCGGTGTCAGGCGCGGCGGGGGGGTTGCCGGCGAGGTTTTTTGCAGGGCGGGGGGGCCCTAAGAACTTGTGCCCAGTGGCTCCAGGAGGCAGTCGGTGTCAGGCTTGGCGGGAGGGTGCGGGCGAAGTTTTTTGTAGGGTGGGGGGCCCCTATATAAGAATTTGTGCCCATTGGCTCCAGGAGGAGGTCGGCGTCAGGCGTGGTGGGGAGTTTGCTGGTGAGTTTTTTGCAGGGGGGGGGGCCCTAAGAACCTGTGCCCAGTGGCTCCAGGAGCAGGTCGGCGTCAGGCGTGGCTATGCATCGGTGCTTGCGCCGTGGGAAAACACATCATGCGCAAGCAACCTGTGCAACCTGACTGGCTGGCATGTTCTAACGCCCTCTCTGCTGATTGTGGCC